AGTTTCCAGGTAGTTTGATATTTTTGTTGTTGTTGCTTTAACATTTGTTACAAACTTCTAGTTTTATTTTCTTGTTATCAAAGAGGGTATGGCCTGTACAACCTGTGCATTTTGAAGTTTATTGATTTTTTTTGAGACCTAATCATGTTTTAGTTTTAATATAAATATTCCCAGGACACTGGAGAAAAAAAGTATATTCTCTGATGGGAACAAAATTCAATCAAATATATTAATTTGACCTTATAAAGTATTGTGGACCTTTAACTTATTTGATTCATTAAAAACTAAGAAAGAGATGTTAGTCTCTTACTATTGTATTTCTATTTCTCTGTTTCTGATAGTTTCTGCTTTATGTGTTTCTGTTTGATGTTACTTGACAAATGATCTTTTTATATTTAAAGGGGAAAAATATTTGTGAATTTTACCTGATTTTGTTGTTGCTTATGTAGAAATACATAGTTCAGTACAATATTTGTGTCTGTTTTTTAAGTCAACAAAACTCTTTCAGAAACCCTCTGTATCTTAACAAGATGTTTTGGAAGTTCTTGATCTCCCACTGTAGGCTGATGTCCTCTGGGGCCGCTTCCTGAGCCAAAGCAAGAGTGGATTGAAGGCTACTAGCCTTTGGGATAGAATGAGTATGCCAGCATTTCCAGTTCCTGCTTTGGGGCAGCCCCGTGTGTGGGGATGTTTAGGGATGTCTGTCCTTCATCTGGTCACGTTCTGCCTCAGTGGGGCCCACTGAAGCTTTTCTCAACCCAGAAGGCACTGTTCTTCTGCAGGGACTAGCCTTCTGAGGACACGACAGCAAAAAATGTATGCTTGTGTGCCAGGTTGTTGGGGGAAAAGTGAATTTCAGAGACTCGCCCTATCAAAGATTTTTTCAGAGCTTTGAACAGGTTATTCACATGTGTCTGGTTATGCCAAACACAGAACTAACTTTTCCCAGACGTGTAGGAGGGCTGAGTCCCAGCCCTCAGCTCAGGAGTGAAAGAAATAGGACCACTTCTGTTTTTCCTTCATTCAAGTAACTTTCTGTTTTGAGCTCTTGTTCCATCAGGCTCATGTAATTTAATTTCAGTCAATTCCAGGGTTCCCTTTTATCTAGAGGTGAGTCCTTGATGGTTCTGTATGGGCAGCTTCCGTCTTCCAAGGTGTTGGGGTGAGTACCCATGTCTGCTGGGATGTCCCCGTTCCCCCCAGCTTGCCCTCTTTCACATCTGCGTCATGCTTGGGACACAGGGATTGCTCCAACGTTCTGTACCACAGGAATCCCTGGGAGGCTGCCCTCAGCGCCCCCTGCCTCGGCCCTCCGAGCACCATCCCCCATCTGGGGCCGAGAAGACATCAGGTGGGGATGACTTAGCTCCAAGGGATTACTAGGTAAGCCAGGGGCATGTCTGCACAGGAGACCAGACCACTGAGTGGAAGTGATCCTGTGGCCACTACCACCACTTGTTTGCCTTGTGGGATGGCCACAGCCCCAGCCCTGCCTCCCAAAAGTTGGCCCCACTCTACCTTCAAGTGTGGGCACCATATGTGTGCCCTTTCTCTTGCTGCCTGCACAGTGGGTTCTGCAGTCCTGTGCTTCTCCCTCCTGCCATCCCCATCTCCTCACCACTGCTGCTCTCCCCAGCCCTTCCCTGCCTGTTTGTGGTGCCCTCACTCCAGGCTGTCTTCTGGTTCTTCTTATGCAGAGCTGCCAAAGGCTTCTTCCTGAGGTGAGGGGTGTATCAGACTCTAGCCCTGTGTTCTACTGGCTCCCCCACCCACCCACGAGGTCACACCAGGCTCCTCCAGGTCCCGCCCATGCCTCACTGTTGCATGATCTGTCTTGTTTCTGCTGTTCCCACTTCCTAGAATCCTTTCTCTGCTCCACCGTCATTCCTGTTCTTAGGCCCCAAAAGCCTCAGCCTGCGGGATGAAGCTCAGCCACGGCCAGGAGTCTTCTCAAGCCTCTTGCATCGCTTTTACATCATGAACTCTTATTTTCACTTAACAAATATCTGAGAACCTTTATGCCTAGGCCCTGGGAACCAATGGTGGAAAGACTCAGTTACTTTCCACAAATCTGTGATGTTGCATGGACAGGCAAGATGATATGCTGCAGGTGTGAGTGGAACCCAGCTGATGGGGACGTGTGAGACTCCCTGCCAAGACAGCCCTCACAGGTGGCCAATAACAGGGGCCACCGCACCGTCAGCTTCTCCAGAGCTGGGATGACCCCAGGCTGCTTTGAAGGCCTCTTGAACACCAGGCCTCAGGATTGCTGACCTTACGAGGAGCCCACAGGGGCTCTGAGTGTGCCTTCTCACTCTTCCCACCTCTCCAGCCCCCGCGGATCTTCTCTGCCTGGGGTAGTAGCAGTGCTTTCCTGAGGACGGTCTTCAGACCACCTGCTTCAGAGCCATTTGCGTTGCCAGCCCATCCCAGGAAAAAGCCTTTCTGGACTAGGACCTTTGCTTTCTGAGCCTGGAAACCTGCATTCTAGCAAGCTCCTGTAGACAGAATGGCCCCCAACAATGTCCACCTCTTAATCCCTGGAACCTGTAACTGTTACCTTACATGGCAAAAGAACTTTGTTTATTCATTTGTGCATTCCTTCCCTCTGATGGGATTTGAATTGGGGAATCAAGCAGGTACTAGCAGTAGCTAGAATCAAGAGGTTTTGGATTCATGAACACATCATGTGAAACCATGTAGTTGAGTGGCTTTAGAGAGCAGAGGTTCTCAAACCTTAGGATCTGTAAACTCAGATGGGAAGATTATCCTGGATTATCTGGGTGGGCCCCATTTAATCACAGGAATTCTTAAAAGCAGAGAGCCTTTCCTTGGAGTCAGAAAGATAGAAAAAGGGTCAAACAGATAAGACATTAATGGCTTTGAAGATGGAGGAAGAGGCCACAAGCCAAGGAACATGGGCAACCTCGGAAACCAGAAAAGATAAGGAAATGGCTTCTCCCCAGAGCCTTTAGAAAGGAATGCATCCATGTCAAAACCTTGGTTTTAGCCCGGGGAAACCCATGTTAGACTTCTGGCCTATAGACCTATAGGATAATTTGTGTTTCAAGTCACTGCTTCTGTAGTAATTTGTTATGGCCGCAAAAAAAACCCAATATACTCCTCATGAGTTTACAGACCTTAAGGTTTGACAACTTCTGCTCTATAAAACCAGTCAACTACATGGTTTCAAAGATGTGTAGTCATTAATCAAAAACCTCTTGATTCTAGCTCAATGCAGATTCCTTCAGAGGGAAGAAATGAACAAATGAATAAATAAGTCTGATTGGCCCGGTCCTTGTTTTTCAATCCAGGACAATCCACTGGATGGACACCGTCAGTTACAGATTAACTATCCTAGGTTCAAATGCCAATCCCTGATCTAGTGAGCTTTGGCCAGAGGCCAGTCTCCAAGACAAGGTACAGTGGTCATTTAGGAGAAAGAAGGGTCAGAGAAGAACGCTGTGAGGTTGAGACCAAAGGATGGGTGTGGGTTTGCCAGGACATGCAGGGTGTGGGGCAATTCCAGGCATTTAGGCTTAAGAGAGAAGGTTCTTTGGGAGCAGGCAGCAAGCATCTTGGTATTATTGAAGCAAAACCTGCAGTAAGGAAAGGGGCTGCCCAGGGAATAGCAGCCAGGTCCCTGAGGGTTTTTTGTGTGCCATGCTGTGGGGCCAGCCCTTGCGTCTGTTGGAAAGCCAGGGAGAAGCAAAGAAGTGCTTTGGAGGGTAGTTTGGAGAGCTTTGCAGCTAGACAACAGGAGACGTACTTGTCCCTCTGCCCCCAACCCCTATTCTGCCCCTCTGCCCTTGGCTCTGAATTCCCTGAAGCCAAAGTCTGGATTTGCTTCAAGCCTTGGCTGAAAGAAGAGGGGAAAGGGAGACACGAGAAGAGATGGTTCCAGACAAGTTTTGACACACCTCAGACACAATTGGGCCAGGAACTTTGAGAGAACTCTTTTGAAAGAATTCCTTTTTTGAAGGCCCTTTGTCTTTGGCAGCCCCTAGAAAGCAAATTCTAATAATTATCCCAGCCTGATTTTCTCAAAATGCTGAGACAATAATTAAAAGCAATACCAAACTGCAAAATAAACAAAGTCCTACAAATGGCTAATGGTTTTTGCCATTTAAAAAAATTCCACCTTCTTTCCAGAGGACCAGTTTGGTGCTAAGCTTGGCCTGTCTGTGGAGGGAAGGAGGCCCGGGGCATAGCCACTTGCCCCGCCTCTGGGTTTAGAAGTGAAGCCCAGGAGGGTATGTCCCCCAGGGGAAACACTCCTGGTAGCCTGGGAGGGAGCAGCAGGCACAGGGGCCAGTGTAGAGTCAGGACTTGGCCCATCAGACTCTAGAGTGGCATCAGATCCAGACTGGCAGAGTGAGGCATGTGATGCACAGGAGTTGGCTTTGAGTTCCAGGAAGATAGGACATGCAATAGACCCATGGGCAATCTGGCAGAGGCCACACTGAAGGATCTCAGTCAGGCACAGGCCAGGTCCAAGCTGCAGTTCCTGAAGAGGGAGCCAGATCTCTCCTAGCTATGCCAGCTGAGGTCCCTCAGGCTGGTGTAGGCCAGAGTTAGTGATGAAACTGGAAGTAGGAAAATGGTTGGTCTACAACAGGACTTTTCATCTTGTTCTAGGGAAACCCAGGATTAACATCACAAGTGAGGGTGATGAGGTTAGTGTGCAGACACTTACACTTAGCAGTGTGAGAAGTGAACGGACTGCTTTGTACTGGCCCTTTCCCTGTCCTAATTTTAATAGTTTCAACCAAGGAGGAAAAGAGATTTCAGCTTGAGACTTCGGTTCCTGAGGGGAACCACACTATTCCCCCACCTTTAATATTTGCCTTAATACATGTTTAGCTGAAACTTTATTAAAAACTTTAACACCACCCAGGCAGGGAAGCCTTTGCTTTTACAGCAGTTAACATATGTTTTCATTGCCTCATCAGCAACGCTGATACATTATAAATAGTTCTTTATAGTAAGTATACACAGTGTTTGATACATAAAATAAATTTTATTTAAATATTTAAAATAACTCATGACTATAAGCAATTAACTCTGAGTATTGCTAAAATAACATTCACATTCAAACCTGTAACTCTGAGAAACCACTATACCATATGCATAGGAGGCCACAGTCAGTAGTCTAATAGTGAACACCAGAGTAGTGTAAACTTTCAGAATCAAGGAATGATTCTAGATCACCTATGCATGGTGAGAAATAAATGCTATTCTCCTAAGCCAGCAACACTGCTTATGAGTTTTCATGCCCCAACTGCAGATTGGTGTGAAAGTCCACATCTCTGCTTCCCTCCCAGTTTTAAGAGCCACAGTGTCACAAAAAAGTTGCAGTATCCCACACAAAGCCCTGCTGATTTTTCAGGGTGTTATGTGGCCCAGCTATCAAGCACCCTGTCCACGTGCTTTATCAAGAACAGGCTTGGCACCCCTGCTTCACCCAAGGTGCCTTTGTCGAACTTGGAGAAGAGCTCACCGGTCCCACTGGCCAGGGTCCTGCTCGTCGCTGTCCTCCTCGGAGTCAGCAGACACTTTCTGGATTCTCTGGAGAGCTGCCTTGATACTCCTTTCAAGGTCACTGGTTGGTTTCCTGCTGGGGCTTGGGCCAAACTCTGGGTGAACTTTCTTCAGTTTTACCCCTTGCCTTATGGCAGCCAGAATGTGCTCATTGACTGAGGTGCGGGGAGAGGGCACAGCAGGCACTTCCACTTTCCGGAGTGGGGTTTTGCCATGCCTTAAGGAGGCCAACACTTCATCCATAGATCCTGAAGTTGAATAAACAGAGTGAGTACCATCAAGAAAACATACTCTTTCTCCTCAGGTTGACAGAACATTATTGTACTAAAGTTGGTAAATTTCATATCAGTTAATGCCATCATTTAAACAAACAATCGTTATTCCATTAACTTAGCATGCCTTGATTACCTGCTGAACAGATCGGCAATAAGCTCCTGGTTTGAATCCAAGACAGTTTGTTAATGTTTTCACTTGACCACTTGATTTCCACTAACTTCTTTAAATCCATAGCAATTTACTGGCACAGTCATGCACACCTTCTGCCAGAATGACTGTTTTTCAAGACTCAGACATTGTAATCTTTCCCTGCGATTGTGAAGAGAGGATGGATACCTGCGGTGGGAATAATCTCTTCCACTGCATATGACTGGGAAACCTCTGAAATCTTATCTCCTTTATTTCCCTGCCCACTTAAAAAAAAATTTACCCTGCTCTGTTTACCTTCAGTCTTGAATATTAGTCAGTGATGACTCATCCTATGACAATGGAGTAAGTAGGTTTCTACACATGAAAAGGCTTAAAGTAAAATTTTAACTAGCAGCCCAGTGCACCGGAGGGGGTGACACTAGCACATTTTTCTGAATATAGTGTGTTGAATTCCACCCACATCACCATGAGGTGGCCTACATGCTTTATTTTTGAGGTTGTGAAATGCTGTCAAAACACAAATTAGATCTGTTTCAAGGTTCTGGTGAGGAGAAGCTCTTTATCACTCTGGTACCTTGAGATCCCTGATAGGGTAAAATCTTTTATCACCTGCTGGAGACAGGGGCATGACTGTGGCCACTGATTTAGAGATCTTCCAGGTAGGGCTTCAAGATTAATAGTTATTTCTAGTTCAGGGTTGAAAGACCATGCGATGGCTAACAAAAGGCTATCTCACTTTGGATTTAATCCTATAACTTGTTATTACAACTTCCTTCTGGAAGTAATAAGACAAATTTCACAATCAAGGTATTTTGTGATGTTAATTTGTACTTTCTTATTCTTGTCAGTGAATTGAGGCAGTGTGAGTTGAATAGTGCTTCCCAGAACATGTACATTAAACCTGAGCTGGGACTGCGGCTCCCCACAAAGATCTGCCCACAACCAAAGTCCCATCTAGACAGGCATGCCAGACAGCATGTAAGTTCTCACTTTTCATTCACCTGATGGTGTTGCACACCCCATGGAAGCAGGCCATGGGTCTCCACCTAATGGTGTGGACATTTTCATTTGTATTTGGTTCTAGGAACAGTGAAACCCTGAACTCAATAACCAGAATGCTCAATTAAGCAGAATTGCAGTTTGGAACTATTATATTTATATCATTCATGTTACCTATTACAGTAACCTTGCCTATTCTAGGTGGAGATGCTCAAGCATGTTGGGGTTTTTTTGTTTGAGTTGAGGTCTCGCTCTGTCACTCAGGTTGGAGTGCGGTGGCACACTCACAGCTCACTGCAGCCATGACCTCCTGGGCTCAGGTGATCCTTCCTCAGTCTTCCAAATAGCTGAAACTACAGGTGCACACCACCATGCCCGGTTAATTTTTTTTTTTTTCTAGAGACAAGGTCTCACCATGTTGCCTAGGCTGGCCTCGAACTTCAGAATGATAGCCCTACTAAATATTCAAGTGTATTCAGTGTACTGTACTTGCTAAGACAAAAAGTGCTCCACTTCTTCTTTTTGACTCATTACATTTTAGAAAGAGTAACAGTAAAGTTCCTCAGTCTGCCAGTCAGTCTGTAAGAACAGCCTTCTATATACTAGCTAATATTCCTCTGCAGTAATTTCCAACCAATATTCTGCTTGGAATGCAGCAAGTTAATTCTGTAAAGAACTCAGAGGTGCAACAGTACTAAAAAATATTCCAATGGTAGAAATTAAATACATACTGATTAAGAAATTTGAAATAGGTTGACATGTTAACAACATCAGAAATTCTAAGTCATGTGATCATTAAATATATACAGATGGGGTTTTCAAGCTTAGCATTTAATGAAACTCAGATTTAAACTATACTTTGCAAAAAAAGGTAATACTCAAGGCAACAAATACTGGAATATTTTTAAACTGTAGTGAATTCTAAAAAAGATTTTGATTGGAAGATGATAGCTTCTAAAGCCAGAATATGTCAACAGCTTAATAGCCCATGGTGAGCAGGGACAGAACCGCAGCAAATTACCTGGGCACTGAAAACTTTCCAGGGAATCATGTGGTCTCTCAGGCAATCCACACACTAGAGGAAGTGGCTGGTCATCTTTTACTGTAGTCCTGTAGCCTACATTCTGGTGAGTTGCAGCTTGAGAGGACAAGGACAGAGCAGGGAGAGGGGGTGGTGGTGGAGGAGGAGGAGGCGGCGGTGGGGGAGGAGGCAGCAGCGGTGGTGGCAGCCACGGCAGTAACAATTCCCCACCAGATGTATGGTGTATTTGGTCACCAGCTGGAACAGAAACCTGGACAGGGATATTTCCAAGACAGTCTTGACACTTGAGGGTTTTCACATTACTAACTTCCAATAAGGGAACACCTCTGGTTTTCCTAGAGGATGGGTTTTTTACCGATGCCATCTGGGAAACTGGTGAGGACGTCTGCTGGGAAAGGCCACCTGGCAGGGTAGGAGCCACAGATTCTGAGCAAGAGGTGTTTAGGACAGACCAAGCTGGGCGTTTCTGAAAATGGAAAACTGTGGTAAGGAATTTGCCACAAATGCAAACCATCAAAATGCTAAAACTTTCTATAAATAAATCTATAAATAAACACTGACACATTTCTGTGCATAGGTGGTCTAATTCACAAAGTGGCTGCTTCTCATTTGTATAGCCATTCTTGCTATTGAACCCACTTTTCATGTATTACAAATAAGCATTTTTCTGGGCACAGTGGCTCACACCTGTAATCCTAGTACTTTGGGAGGCTGAAATGGGAAGAATGCTTGAGCCCAGGAGTTTGTGACCAGCCAGGGAAACAGCAAAACCTTGTCTCTACAAAAAATAAAAAATAGTTAGCGGAGCATGGTGGCACAGGCCTGTAGTCCCAGCTACTTGGGAGACTGAGGTGGAAGGATCACCTGAGCCCAGGAGGTAGAAGTTGTAGTAAGCCATGATCATGGCACTGCATTCCAGTCTGGGCAACAGAGATCCTGACCCACAGGAAAAAAAAGAAAAGAAAAGAAAATATAGCAGGATACAAAATAACATGTATTATGATTATAAACATGCAATAAAAGAGCTTATGAAAAATGCCCTGTAGTTCCAGCTACTTGGAAGCCTGAGGCGGAAGGATCACCAGAGCCCAGCAGGTCGAGGCTGTGGTGGCCAGGAGCGGCCACTGCACTCCAGTCTGGGCGACTGAGTGAGACTCCAACTCAAAAAAAATAAAAGAAAGAAAGAAAAATGCCAGCAGAACGGACATTAAAGTAACAGCTGTTAATAAGGACCGTGGATATTTCTTTTCTCTAACTTTCAAGCTTAGAGTAAATTTCAGAATTTAAAAATTTAAGCTTAAAAAGTTCTAGTTTTCCAGGTATTAATTTGAAAGAGAAAAACCTAACCCTACAGAGAACTAATCTTGAGAAAGAGGTGGTCCCTAAGTAAGGTACTGATTGGCCAATAAATCATAAAATGTAATACTATGGAGCCATTAAAATGAAGTAGACCTACAGATATTTACATGAAGATATCTCAGAAACAAAATGCAAGTCAAAGAAACTGGCAAGGGACGCATAAAATATGATGCTATAAACTTAAAACACACATCATGTAATACATGGTGAAGAGTATTTCTATCTCCCTCACATTCTTCTCCTTTCAGGACAAACAGCAAAGTCATGGCAACAAGCCCCCAGCTGTACTGATACAGACACAAGCCATGTAGCTGTCACCCTGCAGCTTTCTGTCAGAGAGCATGCCAGCAGAAAGAGAACCCCAGAGACTCTGGGCCAAAAGGCTGAACTCCAATAGCTATCCAATCATCGCCCTGCTGTTGGGGATCCCCCAAACACCCAAGGATCCCCTCCTAGGATCCCAGCATCAGCAAATCACTGTGACTCTAGACTGTTAAGTTCCACCTTATATTGCTGGGCAGTCTGTCTAGCCAGAACAAATCAAATTCTTTAGCTCACAACAGCCCTCCAGATATTCAAAACACAACTCCTCTGATCTCAACAAATATGCATCACATGATTTTATTTCTTGTTTTCTCCCTCCCTACTTACTTCCTTCTAAATGTGCTCAAATTGGCTTTGTCCCCTTAAAGGGTGGTACTTCTTGATAAACAGAGAACTCCCTCATTCTACAGAGAATACTTGTGTTCACACATGCCCAAACCTATAAGCCTTCATCACACAGGTGACTCATTAAGCCAAAGGAAACTATTTTCCCCTAAATTTAAGCCCCACACTCTTTCCTATCACACAAGTGTATATATCTCCATTATGGGGTTTTTTGGACTAGTAAATCAGTAATTTACCATCCATATTTGAAGAGGTGATCTGCATTGCCAACCAACTCATTGATCTGAGTCAGGGAGACAGACTTGTAGCTGCTCTCAGATCCCTTCCTCCATATTGAGTCCACTCAGTTATTCAGTACCCTCTTGGTGACGGCGACCAACTAGTTACTCTCTGTCTCACTGCTCTACATTTATCCAGTATTCGCATAGCTCCCTTGCAATCCATTGTTCCCACTGCAATTCACACCCAGGCCCTGATCCAAGCCAGTTACATCAGAATCTCTGAGGGTGACTGGGCACTGGTACTTAGTCAATGCTCCCTGGATGATTCTGATGTGTTGTCCAGGCTGAGAACCCTGGTGGTGGCTCTGGTGTAAGAGAGACTTGGCTTCAATTTCTGTTCTGTTTAACCTTCGGTTAAGTTGTGGAACCATTCTGAAGCTTGGTTACTCATCTGTAAAGTGGTGATGATAATATCTCACAAGTTCATTATAAGAACTAAGTAAACTGACTATAAGGTGCCAGCACAGTGCCTGGTATACAGAAGGCATCCAATATTTACTCCAGAATGTTTTCTGGAATAAAATGGGTTGTTTCCTCTTTTAGGGGCAGCAATAAATTTAGGGTCTTTATTAAGAGGGGAGAAATGAGAGCAGGTCTATATTTTATAGTCAATAATGTTCTTAAATAAGTCCCTGTTTAAATAGGTTTTAAAACAACCTTTTTACTTTTAGATAAATGGTTTAATGTGATGGATATACCTATTACCCTGATTTGATCATGTACATGTATCAAAATATCACACTATAAGTATGTACAATTATTATGTGTCAATTAAAATAATAAAAGCAAAATATAGGATAATTAAAACAAAGTTGGTAGGTACCAAAAAAATGAAATGAAACCTATTTGTTTTTAACACAGTACTTTCACTATACTTATGTCACACTGCTTCCTTGATAATATTTTAAATAATTCTTTATCATAAAAGAGGGGAAAGTCAGCAAAAGTCAAGAGTAACTGAACTTTTTTCAGTCTAAACCACAGTGGGCACAATTCAGTGAGGTGAGAGGAAGAGCAGGAACCCAAGTGTTGTGATGTCAAAAAATAGCAGTTATTGGCTGGGTTTGATAGCTCAGCCCGTAATCCCAGCACTTTGGGAGGCTGAGGCAAGTGAATTGCCTGAGCCCATGGATTCAAGACCAGCCTGGGCAACTGGCAAGACCTCATCTCCTCAATAAAAAATTAGCGGCATGGTAGTGCACGCCCTATTTGGAAAGCAAAGCAAAAGGATCCCCTGAGCCCAGCAGATCGACGCTGGGATGGCTGTGAGTGTGTCACTGCACTCCAGCCTGGGTGACAGAGTGAGACTCTGACTCAAAAAAAAAAAAGTTGCAGTTATTTTGTATCATGATGTTTGAAACATTGATATTCTAATTTTTTGTTTTCCATTTAACACAAATAATGGTATTTTTAAAGCACTTCATGTTCTGAATTACCTATTCCTAATACTTTATACTTTCTTCCTAGGATAGGTGATCTTTATTTATTTCCCAGAAAATAAATTCTGATTTCTAAAATTGATTGCTTCTAGAACGTACCTCTTTAAATGCTCTCAATCGCTGGAGTGTTTTTTGGCGTTCTTGGTTTATCCATTCTTTTTTCTTTTGCTCTTCTTCTTTTATCTTGTCTCTTTTCTATATTTAAACAAATACATTTGTAAACTGCTCAAAATTGTAATAAAATATGTCTTGACATATAATCAAAATATGTCTTGACAAAGAATGGGGCTGTAAGTGACATCAACACTGCCCAAGACTATGCCCAGGCTGTGAGACTGGAGGGGAGAGGCTGACAATTGCAGGTCCAGGGCGGTGGAAATCCAATTTCCACAAGTTTGGTTACCTTTTATAAATATAAAACATTTTCCTTCAGCAACTCACCATCTGAATACTGTGATGCTGATGAAAATATCTTATGCTTTCTTCAGCCTGTTGCAATCTGAGCCGACGATTTTCTTTACATTGATCCTGGTGGAATAATATAAATCATCTATGTGATTTTAATATTACCATGGTATAGCATAAAAGGCTAAAAGGAAAACACTGCATTTGAGCTGTAATATAAAGCATTCATTAATATTAGATTCTGGTCTGTGGCTCAGTGGTACCACCCCCTCCACGGTCATGTGAGGAGAACTGATTGACTGCTTGTAAGTATAATTTGTGTCTTTTTCTTTTTTTTTGAGTTGAAGTCTTACTCTGCCGCCCAGGCTGGAGTGCAATGGCATGATCATGGCTACTGCAGCCTTGATCTGCTGGGCTCAGGCAATTCTTCCACCTCAGCCTTCCAAGTAGCTAGAACTACAGGTACGCACTATCACGCCTGGTTAATTTTTCATATTAAAAAGAAGTCTCGCTGGACTCGGTGGCTCAGCCTATAATCCCACGCCTTTGGGAGGCTGAGGTGAGTGGATTGCCTGAGCCCGCAGGTTAGAGACCCGCCTGAGCAGTGAGACCTCATCTCTACAATAAATCAAAAAATCAGCTGGTCGTGGTAGTGCGCACCTCTAATTCCAGCTACTCAGAAGGCTGAGGTGGAAGGATCGCCGGAGCCCAGCAGGCCGAAGCTGCGGTGGCTGGGAGCGGCCACCGCACTCTAGTCTGGGTGACAGAGTGAGACTCCAACTCAAAAAAAAAAAAAAGAAGTCTC